CAGAGGTGATGTGCTGTTTTTGTCCAGCACCATTCAAACAGTTTCTTGAAGCTGTAACAAATATGAAGTTCGATGAAGAACCAAATTATGCAAAGCTTATATCTTTCTTTGACAGTCTAATTGAACCATGCACATCCCTTAGGCCAATAAGAATTGATGGAGCTCTTAAGGTTCATATATATAGTTGATTTTTTTCAAGCATCTGGCTGTAGATATTTGCTCCCTAAAGTTTGTGTCTTCTGGATCAGGTTGGGCAGAAGCGTGGCAGGCTGCTCATAAACTTGGAGGAAGAGGAACAACCAAGGAAGAAAGTACGGCTAGGCAGTCCTGCAAACCAGTGGATTTCAGTGTACAATGCACGCCGCCCCATGAAGCAGAGGTGAACTCTATATGTTATAAACAAGTCATTGTTGTGCTTGTTTATATGGAATGACCTTCATAGTAAATAAATAATCCCATCTATCATGGTAGTGTGTTTTGATATTTTATAATGTGCCACTAATGAGTCTTGGATAGTTATTCCTTTTGTTTCCACACATAAACAGTAATATTTAAAAGAGGTTTTACTCTTAGATGTATATACCTTCTTTTTAAGTAGAATAAGAACCAAATAAAAACAATATGCATGCCTTGAATCAATATTGTTGCAATATTTTTTTAAAATTTATTTAGATTTAGCATATAGATCTATGCTGTGAAAGATTGGTCTGATCTAACCGAGAGTATGTCTTTCCCTCCGAAAACAAAAGTGGAAGGTGGCCTATGTTATCCCCCGACACACCCCTTTTGCTCCACCCCAAGGTTGTTAAACTGGAGTTCCTAGCTAGGATCGTTGGGGGCTCAGAGGATCGTAGATCGTGAATCGTAACTCAAATAGTAAGATCCTAGAGGAGTAGTAATATTTAAATTTATGACATGTACATAATTAATAAAATATAAAAAGTGATGAATCATACTCATAAGTCCGACGATTCTACGTCTCACCTTGCTGATCCCCACCAATCCTAGTATTTTCCAATGGCATAAGCGGTCCAAATTGCAGAGGTGAACATTACTTGTACAATGATACAATTTTTGCGATCCGGATCCTAATTCTAATAACCCTGTTTACCCCACCACCATCCATAGAAAGTTGTGGGATGTTTAATTTGCACACCCTTTTCTATCTGACTTGTTGCATGTTTTTCCATGTTTGCAAGGATATTAGGGTGTAGGGAGCTGAGCCCTTGCACAGATTCTTTAGGGTGTTTTAGGCTGAGCTTTTTTTGGTAGTTGTTTTACTCTCCTAAGTGCTATTTTGAGTATAATACCCTTGTGTTTGGGAGAGTATTTTGATCATGTTCAAAATGCTAACATAAAAATCTACATTCTACAAACCATAGCTTCTTGATATGAGTGTTTATTCATTTTTTAGCAATACTGCCCTTTAAAACTCATTTGTCTATCATTTTGCGCTGATGAGCGATGACATTCAATTCTTTTTAAATTTCAGAATTTTCATTATTTTATCAGACAGCTAGCTGGGATTCAGCTGATGCTGATGATGATTACAGATCAGTAAATCACTACCAAACATGATCTGAACTTTGTTTTGACACCACACTTTCATGTTTTCAAAATAGTTTTTTCAAACAACATATCCTGGTTTCTAATTTCTTATCATTTACGCCCTTAAAGAAGATTGTTAAGCAAGTTCCTTAGAAATGAAAATATTGTACCTAATATTTGTAACATAGTAGAGCAGTACAAAATTGTGATCTTTAGTTTGTAATTAGTGTCCAGTTGTTTAATCTCTTAGAAATCTTATATAGTATTATGACCTTTAGTTTGTAGAAAATGTTTGGGTGTGTATCATTGTTTGACCATAAGTTCAGCATACAAATAGGGCAAAACGTGACTATTAAGACCTCTCTTTAGCATACTGATATTTTGTGGATGGGAAGTAATTTATATCCTTGGGAAGGATGTGTAGCATGTGTTTAGCTTGAAGGCATATTTTTTCTTCAATGCATATTCCAAGTCATTAAATGGTGTTTGTATGCTGGTACATTTGGATTGTGCCTTCTTTGTACTTTACTACTCGAGAAGCCAATTTTCTCAGGTCATAAGATATTGTGTTTTTTTGGATGTATAGATACCACTACAATGTTGCAGACACTAGGCTGAGTCAGCATGTAGAAAAGGGCAATGAAGATGGGTTATTTATTAGCTGCGTGGCTTCTGCAGCAAACCTTTGGGCCCTAATCATGGATGCTGGAACAGGTTTCACTTCCCAAGTTTATGATCTTTCAGCGGTTTTCCTTCATAAGGTGATTCATCTGCTTTTTCTTCTGTCATCCCCTCCCTCCTCTCCAGTTTATTTGTGCATATTTCCATAATTTTAAATTGGGTTCGTGAATCTATACACCCAGCTCATCACATTATGGGTTCTTCTCAGGATTGGATAATGGAACAGTGGGAAAAAAACTATTATATTAGCTCGATAGCGGGTGCAAATAATGGAAGTTCATTGGTAGTTATGTCGAAAGGTTGGATAATAAAACTTGTTTTGTCTTTTTCTTATCAATTTATTTGTTTATAGTGCTAAGTGCTACGTGGAATTGTGTTAGGAACTCCTTACACTCAGCAATCTTACAAAGTTAGTGAATCTTTTCCATTCAAATGGATAAACAAGAAATGGAAAGAAGGGTTTCACGTAACATCCATGACTACTGCTGGGAGTCGTTGGGGTGTTGTGATGTCCAGGAATGCTGGATTTTCTGAACAGGTCAGCTGAAGTACCTTTGTTTATCATCTGTTTTGAAAAACTAATTTTTGTTAATAGTTCATTTTTTTCCGGTTTCTTTAATAATAACGACAACAATAATATGTAACAGGTCGTTGAGCTTGACTTTCTGTACCCAAGTGAAGGAATTCATAGACGGTGGGAGAGTGGGTACAGAATAACATCTATGGCTGCCACTGGCGATCAAGCAGCTCTCATATTGAGTATCCCGAGACGGAAAGTGATGGATGAAACTCAGGAGACCCTCCGCACTTCTGCTTTTCCAAGTACACACGTTAAGGTCAGAGTACCTATCTCTTTATCAAATGAGTGTATTTTTTTCACCTCAACGTCTGCAACTAACAAATAAATAAATGAAACTTGCAGGAAAAGTGGTCAAAAAATCTCTACATTGCCTCTATATGCTATGGAAGAACCGTGTGCTGAACGGTCGCCCAACGGAAAGTTTCTTTTGAGGGCAGGAATGAATTCCTGCATGTGTTTTTTAGTGGTGGGGTTGCAAATTTCCATCCCTTGTGATGTATTAATGGTAAAACTGTAGAGGTATTCAGAAGGGTGCTTTCTTTACCTGAATGGGATTGCCATCAGTTGCCATAGACACAAAACTGATTGGTCTTGGCTGCATGCATTAGTGGCCAAGATTGTATAAGCTTTCCATGTACTCTTCCTTTCGTTTTTTGTGTAAAAATACATAATTAAATCTCTCTTTTCTTTCTCTGGACAACATTCTAATCTTCTACGTGGGTGAAATTATCCAAAGTAGCCGTTCTTTTTCTACCCCTCAATCTTATTCCTTTTGTCCCTACAATTTTCCATTTAGGTGGTAAAATTTTGCGTTTTAAAAAATCAAATTATTTAAAAATTGGTATAAGAATAATAAAATATGTTAAAAATTTAATCAAAAGTTTTACAAAAACAAAAGGTTACAACATTATTTTATTTTATGAAGTAATTAATGAAATTAAACAACAAATGCCTCTTATCAATAGGTAGGTTTAAAAAAAATGTACTCCGTAATTAATTTCGGGAGGGAGTATGGGTGAAGGGAAGTTCTTGAGTCTTGACTAAATGAAAATATATTTTTAAATTTATACTTACAATCAAAAAAATTGAATTAAAAATAAAATCGATCAAGTCTCATAACGCGCAATTGAATGATCTATGACAGATTGAGGAAAAAGTTTTAATCTAATATAGTTTGAATGTAGTTATATTTAACACCAAGGTTTAAGTGACATTGAACCTTGATGTCATGGGATGACCCAAGGATGCTCCGGTGCCCCGTTCGTAAAATTGATGGTTCCTAACCCTCCTAACCCCTTAGTAAACCTCCCCACCCGGCCCCGATCCGAACACACCCCCCACCCCCCTCAATTGCACTCCACAAGTTGATTTTGACTTTGGAATCAAATTTTGACTCCAAAGTCAAAATCAACTTGTGGGGTGCAATTGAAGGGGGTGGGGGGTGTGTTCGGGTCGGGGCCGGGTGGGGGGGGGGGTTTACCGGGGGAGTTAGGGGGGTAGGAACCGTCAATTTTACGAACGGGGCACCGGAGCGCCTCCGGGTCATCCAATGACATCAAGGTTCAATGTCACTTGAACCTTCCCCTATATTTAAAGCTATTTTTTATCTGATCTAATATGTTAAAGAAAACCGTGCCTAACTGTACACACATTTGAGCCGGTCTCACTGCTCATCAAGAGTATATTACATGAGCAAGCAATAGGGCTACGCTTAAATTTACACTTTGGGATCACATGATGACCCGTAGAGGATATGGAGACAAGTATTACGGACGAAAAGCATAACTATCCATGCCACTCAATGCCAAACGACACTCTCTGCCACCAGTATGTGATTGTAGTCCAATTTTTTCCTCTCAGATGATTGTCCGGCTGATTCCGAGGGTCCCTCAAAGATCATGTTCAATATCTTTTTTTTCTTATTGCCAAAGGGAAGGTTGGTCAATGTCCTGTGACTTCCACACTCTGACAGGGAGAGCCAATTTTTTCGGATTGAAACACAAAAAACTCATTGACTCACTATACTTATAACCATAGCATACATGATGGGATGATATGGATGACTTCATTTCAGGTCAAATGCTCTGCTTCTAAAATACGAGTAATAGGAATATAAGCCTAGATCTGAACCTGAATTTGAAATGCCTCTGTAGATTAAAATTTCAATAATCTTCAAATATCACATATGGCATCAAACACCAGAGAGCATCAGAACACTTTCATGATGGAAGATGCCACGACATTATCAGGTTTCTCTATAAGGAAGACTAATGATGATGCTAAGATCTACGAATTATCAAAAAAAGAGGTCTAATCATACCAAACTGCACATAATTGTCACCATGGAGAACCAGTAAGCCCCTGGAACTCTAAGCCAAGCTTCACAATCTTCAATTTCAGAGCCTCGAGTTCGGCCTCCAGACGTCCAATTACTGCTTTAGCATTCACAGCCGTCGCCTCAAGATTTCTGATCTCCTCATCAACTTGAGCCATGTGCATTTTCTTTGACTGAATAACTGCTTGGGATTTAAGGGAAAGGCTGACTAGCTTATTCAGCCTATCAAGTATAAACCCAACCAGCATGCCCAGATCCTCGAAAGCCTTCAAAGTCTTCCCCCAACATTCCAAATGATGAAGAGACGTGGCAAGGTTGGCGGATTTCGCGGCGTCAGCAATGTTGACAGTTTCAGAAATCATTACAGCAGCTAGTTTACTGCTGATGCCCTTAATAAGACTTTCGTGAAGGTACATTTTTTGACTGACGCATAACTCGTAGTACTTTATTCTGAGATCTAATGGTATCTCTGAGTCAAGAATTACGCCATCCACTTGAATCGTGAAATCTTCGAAACCATTTACATCTTTGAAATAGGCAACAGATTCTGAGCATTTGATGACGCCTTCATGAACATCTGGGACAAAGATATCACTATCGCCCACAGATTGAGATTGATCCATCACAGGCCTACTATCATATACTAATCTTGCCTTCTTCTCCTGCGGATTGTCCACAGCAGAAGAGCTTAAATATTCTGCTCTCTCTGTTGCATTAATCTGCACATTGCCTTCTATTTGGTCTTCAATTTTCACTGGTGCAACACTTAATTTGTTTTTAGAAGAATACGCAAATAATTTCAATGAAAAATGAGAGTTGAACTGTCATACCAGTATTAATTGGCTGACTATTTTGGAAACTAAAATTTTGAAGACCACTAGCACCATCATCATCTGATGATTTGCTTGCTCTCTTAATGTATACCTTAAGAGAATCAAATACATCTGTCAAAGAATGTGGCAGGGGGGAATAAAAGCCCTTGCAAGTCAAATGTTCAGACCAAAATTTAAAGTTTGGAAAGCAAGAAATGACAAGGACTTTATAAATCACAAAAGCAACCAACCCATCCTGTAGTGAATATAAAGTTTGTTATGCATCCAAAACCCGTTGCAACTTGCCAGGGTTGGCAATAGTCCAACTATTCAAATTAGCTGTAAATATGATTAATATTTACATCCAAAACCCATTACAAGGGTTGTCCATAGTCCAACTATTCCCATTACCTGTAAATATAATTAATATATACCTAAAGCTGTACTTCAATCAACAAATAGTATGGAACTGAACACTAAAAGAAGCTTTCCACTTCCAGGCAATCAATTGCCTCTTACCTTTCCATCATCAACATCAAAAAATAAATAAATAAACCCAGTATAATCACGACTCCATTGGGGTCAAGATGCACACAACCTTACCCCTGTAAATTACAGACAAGCTGTTCTTGTTAGGCATTTGATTCCTTGCTGCATTTATTGCCTAAAACTTCATAGGAAGTACTTCCTCCGTCCCAAAAAGATGTTCCCATTTTGACAATTAAGAAATTTAAGGGAGGGATATTTTTGTGTTGACTTTTCAAAGATACCCTTGATGTGATGGGTAAAAATAGGATGTGATGTGTATGTTATTAGTAAAAAGGTAAGATGTGATAGGTTGGTTTAGAATTAATAGAGGTAAAAGTGGTTTTTTAATATAAATGAGAAGGACAAGTAAAAAAAGAAAGGGGAAGGAGTTTCAAGACGGAGGGAGTAATAAGCAAGGGAAGTTTAACGAACAATTTTAATTTAGTTCATTATTTGTCCAAAGCTAACAGATTGTCAAGAATGACTATTTTAGTACCATTGGCAATGGAAACACAGATACTCATTCATTTGAGGCTCAAATAGTTACCTTAAACTTGCAAGGCTCGATAAGGTGGAAAACCAAAGCATCACTCTCTCGCAATTTGTGTGCCATGCAGAAGGCTTTCCAACCACTACCAAACCTATTTCTTCGCGCTGAATACCTCATACTATATTCTAGTTCATCTTCATCCACCAAAATAATTGTACCATCATTGCTTGGTAAATGCTCATCACAGAATTTCTTTGGTAAATTCTGTTATAAAAGAGCAACTCTCCAGGATTCGATCCATAAATCATATTACGTATATTTCAGATATTCACACAGTAGCGGTAAGAATTCCAAACATACCAAACAGAATTTTCCAGTCAGATGAGATTTGAGTAACTGTTTGAAAAAATTAGGGCATTGGTCTGATGAATTTTCTCGAACACCATGTGCTTGCTGCAAGCTCAAGGAATTGACAGCAATGCCATGAGGATCACTAGTTGTGTTCACCTTAGCTTCACTACTGCAATATTGTATACGACTGGTATAAGAAAACCAGGGTTGTTAACATAAAGCACCCTCTTCACAGTTCACATGCAAGAAACAATTTGTATTACCATTCACAACCACTATACACTTCCAAACTTTGCCTGCTTAGGCATTAAGATTTTGTCGTTTTGTCCTCACATCAACAGCAAAAAGATAGAACTGGTCCTAATATAACTTGGTGCCGGGCCATTATTTAGGATGGCTATAGATGAATTTGCTTTCTATTTTTGTTGCAAAAGTGGTACAGAGTATATTACTACTACTTGTGACAGAAGCAGAAAAAACCCTTCAATGTGCACTTTGCACCCTCCAGTCAGTGATAATTGATAAAAAAAAAGGGAATGATTACTGAAAACCCCTTCAACCTGCAATGTGCATCGATATTGTCTGAACGACCGCTAAAGAGAGTTTCTCCACACACATAAAAGAGTTTATCATCCTAGAAAGCATCTTTGATGAATCACCCCAGACCGATCTCTTTACACACAAAAATTACATGTTTCCAACTTCACAGCAGTGAACACGCATTCAATCTAAAGATCAAAACTCATTAGCATGCAGAGTAATCTGGTAAGAAATCTAGACTCAATTGAACAGTCTAACCATCAACCAAAACTGCGAAATCATCTAATTTACTTAACGAGAAAGTGGAAGCATCTACAAATAGCAAAGCCAATATACAAAAATAAACCAAAGAGTGAGATCAGATAGTGAAATTGTACTACTATGACAGTATTTGTAGTATTTGTAAAGAATGGAAAATAGACCTAAGGGGAAATACTGGAATCAGCTGCATTCCTTATTTCCTTCGCATTTGAGAGCTTCTTCTGATCTTCTCTTTTCTCAGCAAATAGGTTACACGTCAATAGCCCTTATTTTAGAATATACTTAGGAAAGAATTAGTACTAGATTAGATTAGATTTTTGAGAAGAACGGACAGGTCTCATTATTTTTTAAAATGTACTTCAAGATACATTAAAATATTAAAAAAGCTATTCTGGGGGTGACATTCCATCAATTTCTCCGTTAATCTCTCTTCTCCGTTAACTTCTCCTCCTTCTTCCCCATTTTTGATCTTCTTCTTCTTCTCTCCTCTTCTTCTCTTTTTTCTTTTGAACTCTTTTTTCTTCTTACCTATTATTATTATTATTATTACTCCATATTATTATTATTACTATTCAAATTATTATTATTATTATTATATTAAGTTTTATTTTAAATAATAAGTGTTGTTTTTATAAATAATAATAAGTGTTATTTTTCTTAAAAAAGAGTAATAAAACTACTCATTAATTTTTAATAATAATAATTATATATTAAAACAATAGCAGAAAAGTAAAATAATAAGAAGATAATAATAATTAATACAAAGTAATAATAATAAGTACTATTATTTTTTTAAAAAAATTATATTAGTAAAATTACTAAATAATTTCTTTTAATAAATAATACTATTAATAATTATAAGTGTTTTTTTATAATAAGTGATATTTTTCTAAATAACAATTACTGTTATTTTTCTTAAAAAAAGAGTACTAAAACGAATAATTAGTTTTAATATTATTATTAACCATTAAAATAATATGGAGTAATTAATAATAATAATAATAATAATAATAATAATAGAATAATAAGAAAATAATAATAAATATGAAGTTATAATAATAAGTTCTACTCCACTATTTTTCTTAAAAATTAGAATGGTAAAAATACTAATTAATTTAATAATAATGATAATTAATAAATAATAATAATAGAATAAGAAGAAAAACAAAATTCAAAACAAAACAAAAATAGAAGAAGAAAAAAGGGGAGGGTGGAGGGCTGGATGAGATCCGAAGGTGGAGGAAGAAGAAGAAGAAGAAGAAGAGAGATTAACGGAGAAATTGATGGAATGTCACCCCGGAGTAGCTTTTTTGATATTTTAAGGTACCCCGGAGTACATTTTAAAAAATAATGAGACCTGCCAGTTTTTCTCACAAAATCTAAGGTACCCCGCAGTAATTTTTTCATATACAGAGTAAGAGAAACAAATAGATTGACCCGGTTTATGGATGGAAATGGGGGGAATTGGGGATTGAGGGTGGGCACTGAATGACGGGTACCCGTGGGAATGGCGATTCGGCCCGTCCAAATAACCCAACTGCCAAATGAATACTCCATTTTAAATGTATACTAAATTTCCAAAATGGAGTGCTACGAGAACAACACCACTTGTACACCAAGCCTAAAATAGGCACACACAGATATTTAATGTCTGTGCACACACAAATATTAAGTGTCTGTGTGTGCCTATTTTTGGTTTGGTGTACATGTGGTGTACGCCAAGTACTGTTCACTAAGCATTTCTCTTTCCAAAATGGTACTCCGTTTTCAATACTGATGCGTTTTCTAAAACTTGTCTCTAATATAAACTAACTAGTGTTGTCCTCGTGCATCGCACGGCCTCGTATATTCTTACATAAAATATATCTATAAATTTTATATTTCATTTTTAAATATGATGATATTTCATAGAGGAGGGGATCCATTCTTTTTATCTCACTAAAACTAGTACACTCTTGAGACAGAGTAAGAAATATATTTCGGACTGAGGAGATTTACCCGGTCTAGGTCATACTTTGTGTTCTTGTTGTGTGTTTTATATTACGGGTCGAGTGTGTCTAGGTCAGATTCGGTCAACCCGCCCATCTATATTTACACTATCATTTTTGGCGCCACCCGTGGGACCAATTTTTAAAGTTTTTTCGACCAGGTTAAAACTTTACCCCCACTAAATATCCACAATCATGTCTTCAAGCAACCACAACATTGTTTCAAGCCAGGCTGCGAGTGAAAGCACTCCTGCCATCCCACTGATGATAACGAGCATGGGGACGACCTTTGCCCCAATCACCACGGTAGGATCAATTGGCATGATCCCAATCATGTCAACCCCTACTCCTACGCCAACGACGACAATGTTCCCAGGCTTGGCTCAATTTTCCGCTGACCCGGCAAACGCTCAAGCTCTGCAGGGCTATCAACAGGTGATGGCCATGATGCAACAGGCAGGGGGCTTCATGCCATTTGCCTATCCTGGCATGATGCCATCAATGATGAGCCATATGCCACCCCCAGTGCCGACTCCGTCGACATTCGTTCCTAGAATGGTTCTTATACATCCGGTGAATCTGACGGGGACCATGAATGAGGCAGCGCCCTCAAATGTCCATGAAGTTGACGAGGCGGAACAGGAGGCAGCTCGCAGAAGGAAGGGTAAGGCTATAGCCAAACCCAGCAAGACCCGAGATTCGGTGTTCAAACGCCTAGGGGACAAAGAGGATGGACCCCGCAAGTCTGCCAAGCTACGTCTTGGTCCTCAGATGGGCCGGACTAGCGCAATGGAAAGACTTCGCGGGAGTCGTCTTGCCCAATCTCGTCGTTCTAGGGAATCTAAGACGATTCACCTAGATGAGGAGGAAGCTGAAAGCCAGCCCAGAGCATCGGCATATACCAGGCTTTCATACGATGAGGATGACCTGGACAAGATGGGGAGCATAGCGAGAAAGCTACGTGCCCTGGAGGAAAAGGTAGAAGAGAAGGCGGGAGCGAAGAAGCACACCCTGGCCAAATCACCCTTTTCAGTCAGGGTAAATGCACAAAATTTGAGGCGGAAGGTCAAGCTGGAGGTGGAGAAATTCACTAGAAAGGAGGATCCAAATGTCCACCTTGACACCTTCCATAATGCAGCGCAAATGGCCGGGTGTACTGATGCTGAAGAATGCCTACTCTTCTTCTCATCCTTGAGAGGGAGGCCAGTGGAATGGTTTAACAGCCTTCCACATGGTAAGATCGGGTCCTTTGAAAAACTTGCTGATATTTTTCGCAAGAAGTACGAGGACAAGTGCATCAAAAGGAAGAAGTTCACCTACCTTAACACGGTAAGGCAGAGGGAGAAGGAGTCCTTGACTCAGTTCTTAACTCGCTGGAGGGACGAGGTCGACAAAGTAGAAGAGATGGACGACAAGACGGCCATGTCTTTGCTGATGAATGCCTTTCGGTTGGGTGACCTCTACACTGAATTTTGTAGAAGGTCACCCTCCTTTTATCAGGAAGCCTACAATATAGCATGGGAGTATGCCGAGGCAGAATTCCTAAACAAGAGCAAGCGGGAACTAGAGGAAGGCTATACAAAGGTGAAAACTGATACGCCGAAGAAGGATGACCAGATGGGAGGGTCCAATCCGAGGGCCACATATGATGGGTTTGTTCATCAAATAAGGGATGAGAAGAAAGGAGAACAATCCAAGCTGCCTTGGATAGAGAAGTGGTGCACCTACCACCAATCCGACTCTCACAACACGACAGATTGCCGGAATGTGAGGGTCGTGCTCAGGGAGATGACCTTGAAAGGGGAATTGGGTGAAATATTCGTTACGGGGCTTGAGAAAGACCCATAGGCGAGTACTTGAATCCACCCACAAGAATATGATCATGGAAAGAAGAGAGGGTGGATAAGATGTGGTCAAGATTACTAAGCTTGCTATAGACGGATCAGTCTTGATGTCTAGGACCTGGACCGTTGCATGGGCTGATAGCAAAAAAAGAAAAAAAACCCTTGAGATAGGGGCCTTGATGTTGAGGTATCGCCTTGAGACACGCTGGATCCGGAAGAGGATTTGCATCCATACTTACATGGATCCCTACCGACTTTTTGGTCAGGAAGGATTAGAAAAGATGCCAAAAAAAATATTACCGTCTTGTATGAGCCATCCTTTGTGGATCGGAATGTCTAGGGAAGACTAGAATTTCCGAACACATAATATATGGACGTGCAAGATTGGATGAGGGTTGGTTCTCACCGGCATACCCCCATGTGGGAATATTATGTTGGCTAGGTCAACCTAATAATTAGAGAATGGCACATTAAAAGACTTAAAACCTGGAAGAAGGGTGTTGCCTGGAAGAAGGCTGGACCTTGGAGAGGGTTCGCGATCATAGGACATGGTCAAAATCTCCAAATATGGGTCAGGTCTTGATGTTGAGACTTGAAATAAAAACTATTTCGAAATATTCATTCGAAGTTCGATCAAGGTCGGTGTTGAAAATGACATGCAGGCCAGATGGATATAAGAAAAAGGGCATGGTCAAAAAGTGACTGGTCACTTTTTTAACGTTCTAGATTGACAGAAAAAGACGGACAGAAAATTTTAAAATTGACCGGTCAACTTTGAAAAGTGACCGGTCACTTTTTAATTTTCGGATTTAATGAAATCAGACAAGTTTGGAAAAGCATATTTTTGACTAGTCACATTTTGACCCGGCACCTGGACAAAAATTTGAGGCAAGACTGGTGACGTTACATGACCAAACCATTGGGATTGGACCAGGACGAAATTCAACCTAGACGTCTACTACATTTCAACCTCGAAGTAAACCGGATCAGAAGACAAGTCGAGCACAAGGTGACCTGGATATTTTCAAGTCTGGAGACCAGGACATGAGATGACCTGGATGTTCTTAAAATGTTTCTTAAGGGCATGAAATGACCTGGACGTTTTCTAGACTTGCACTTGACCAGGACATGAGATTACCCGGACGTTTTCAAGACTTGCACTTGACCAAGACATGAGATGACCCGAACGTTTTCAAGACTTGCACTTGGCGAGGACATGAGATGGCCCAGACATTTTCAGAACTTGCACAAAGGGCCCTGGACGTTTTAAGGAGTTTCCAAGACTTACTAGACCGGGACGTCCTTCAAAAGTTTCAACCAATAAAAGTTTCAACATAGCCTACTAGACCTGGATGTTTTCAAGACCAGGACATGAGATGACCTGGACATTCTTGAAATAATTCCATAGAGGGGGACCAAGCAAGAAAACAACCATGCAAGTCTAACCAGTTAACTTCAAAGGGGGACCAGGCAAGAAAATAACCATGCAAGAAACTTAACCATTCAAAAAGTCCAACCAGGAACAAAGAAATGCGACCGGACCATGAAAGCCCCCTTAATTGGTGACCATTCCATTTGAAGAGGGCCGGCCTTCTTTTTCCCAAAACCCTACCGAGAACTCTTATATAAACCCTTCCACTCTTGGGACAACCCAGTTATCATATGAGATTTGCATCATATAACCGAGTACTTGGCCGGTTACTCTTGAAGGGGTGTGCACCGGGCACTTGACCGGGTACTCTAGGAGGACTAGGAGGACTTACGTTGCAGAAGACCGGTTAATTATTTAGAGTTTACATTTGGATTTCCCAATAATTCAAACGTGACAGGTCCTAGAGGAAGACTTGATGATTACAAAAGTGACAGGTCCGAGAAGAAGGCTTGATGATCTCAAAAGAGACAGGTCCGAGGGGAAGACTTGGTGATTTCAAACGTGACAGGTCCGAGAGGAAGACTTGATGATTACAAAAGTGATAGGTTCGAGAAGAAGGCTTGATAATTTCAAAAGTGATAGGTCTGAGAAGAAGACTTGATGATTACCAAAGTGCCAGGTCCGATGAACCCAAAAAGCGCCAGGTCTGATGATCTCCAAAGTGCCAGGTCTGATGAATTCCAAAGTGCCAGGTTTGATGAACCCCAAAGCGCCAAGTCTGATGAACTCCAAAGTGATACGTGTGATGATCCGCAAAGTGCCAGGTCTGAGGAACCCCAAAGTGCAAGGTTAGAAGAAAGAAATGATACTCAAAACCTCATTTTCGGTCAAGGAAAATATTTGATGATTTCAAAGAAGGACATGTCATGGGAATGACTTGATGATTTCAAAGAAGGACAGGTCATGGGAATGACTTGATGATTTCAAAGAAGGACAGATCATGGGAATGACTTGATGATTTCAAAGAAGGACATGTCATGAGAATGACTTAATTCTTTCAAAGAAGGAAAGGTCATGGGAATGACTTGATGATTTCAAAGAAGGACAGGTCATGAGAAAGATGTGATGATTTTAAAGAAGGACAGGTCATGGGAATGACTTGATGATTTCAAAGAAGAACAGGTCATGGGAATGACTTGATGATTTCAAAGAAGGACATGTCATGGGAATGACTTGATGATTTCAAAGAAGGATATGCCATGGGAATGACTTGATTATTTCAAAGAAGGACAGGTCATGGGAATGACTTGATGATTTCAAAAGTGATAGGTCAACATAAATATACTTCTCGTCCTTGATGACTTCCTCACAAGGCCGGTAAGTGGAGGACTTCTTGATGGGTATATCCCTATACCCAACCCGGACAACCGAAAGGGACAGGTCAAATTATGACTGGTCACTTTTATCAATCACCAAATGAGGTTAACTCTTCAATTAGGACGGGTCAAAAGTTGACCGGTCACTTCCACTAAAAAAGTGACCGGTCACATTTTGGGCGATAGCCAAAATATTATCTTATGTAACGAAGGATATTCCGGAAGACCAAAGAGACGGGCTGAGCTCAGGAAATGACCGGGTAACCTTTGAGAATAGGTGACCAGTCATACCACGTTACTTTGCTAACATTGGTCCAGTCTCTTAGGCACGTTGAACCACGTCAGAGGTCAAGGGGACACCCCGCCGCTCATCCGTCACGAGGCACACAGTGAAAGGAATGTTTGTCATTTTGCAGGGTTGATTGGATTGAGAATATCCATTTTAGTCTTTGATTGAACAGTGCTTTTTTGGTTGTATTAGTAGCAAGTCTGTGATTGTACAGTGCTTCCATTATCTACAGTGACCTTCCCACGAGCTTCCTATTTTGTCCATGGATGAACAGGGGAAGGTCACAAATCCTCCTCTATAAATATGATGATATTTCATAGAGGAGGGGATCCATTCTTTTTATCTCACTAAAACTAGTACACTCTTGAGACAGAGTAAGAAATATATTTCGGACTGAGGAGATTTACCCGGTCTAGGTCATACTTTGTGTTCTTGTTGTGTGTTTTATATTACGGGTCGAGTGTGTCTAGGTCAGATTCGGTCAACCCGCCCATCTATATTTACACTATCAATATATATATATATATGGAATTGACTCCACTGAGATGACACCTTACGGTGAGGATGACATGCTACGGTTAGATGACGCAAAGCTCACCACTGGCCACTGCAAAGCTCACCAAACTGTAAGGCAAGACCCACCATATTTTTTCAACACTTTGAATTTTTTTTGAAAAAATAAAATCAAAGGAAGGGATGCTGACTAGATTTTGACCGTTGACCGCGACCATTGACCACAACCATTGACCGCCGCCGGTCTCCGGCAGCCGCCGCCGCTCCTTCGCCGGTCGCCGGAAGTCACCGCCGCTGACTGGTGGTTGACCGGTGTTTCTATTTTATTTTTTATTATTTTTTTAATTTTTAAAATTTAAAAAAAAGCGAGTTTTGGTGTTCAAAGTATTGAGCTTTGCTTTATTTCTAGATGAGCTTTGCATTATCCATTGGTGAGCTTTGTAGTGTGGTGAGCTTGACATCATCTCATTGAAGCATGTCATCTCACTGGAGTCAATCATATATATATATATATATATATATATATATATATATATATATATCTGTGTGTGTGTGTGTATATATATATATATGGGATTGACTTCAGTGAGATGACATGCTTCGGTCAGATGACACAAAGCTCACCACTGGCCACTACAAAGCTCACCAAAGACAACTACAAAGCTCACTAAACTCTAAGGCAAAGCTCACCATATTTTTTCAACACTTTGAATTTTTTTTGAAAAAATAACATCAAAGGAAGGGGTGTTGACTGGACTTTGACTGTTGACCGTCGGCATTGACCGCCGCTTGCCACCGACCGCCGTCGCTAGACTCCGGCCACCACCTCCGGCTGCCACCGCCGGACTCCGGTCGCCACCGCCGGTCGCCGCCGCCGATGCTCTGCCTCCGGCCGCCACCGTTGACCGGTGATGCTTTTTTATTTTTAATTTTCAAAATTTAAAAAAAAAGTAAGTTTTGGTGTTCAAAGTGGTGAGCTTTGCTTTATTTCCAGGTGAGCTTTGCATTGTCCATTGATGAGCTTTCTAGTGGCCAATGGTGAGCTTTACGTCATCTGACCGAAGCATATATATATTCACTCCGTCCCCAATTTGATTACAAATTGTGTGTTACAGAGTAGAATTTCCTACTTTTTGAAATCATTGTTTTTGTGTGCTGGTACTTATTAGTTTATTGTTGATAAGAAATTTTTAATTTATAAGCTATTTATAAGTTAAATGTTTTTTCATAAAAGGAAAATGACTTAAAAGATAGATAAACCACTTTGAAATATTCATAAATTGTGAGGTACAATTTTTAAAATAATTCGGTCAAAATAAATCAACAAAAAAAACTAAGTTTAAAATAAATAGATAAGACCAATTTATTTTTTAGCTTACAATTCAGTTTATAAGTACAGAAAATATTTTATCTGCTAATTTATAAGTTTCAAATCCTTTAATATAAAATTTGAGAGTTATGGATTAGAATTTTGAACTTGGCTGTGCAATTATAGGCTCATTAGGCTGTAGCTCCTTCCAGGACCCATTCTTTTTCTCGACCATCTTCTTCGCTGGGAATGAAAGAAATTTGCTGCACGACTTCACGCTGAAAGGAAACTAATATGATTCAAC